ATTTTAGGTTCAGGGAGGAAAGCTCAGTGAAAACCCTCAGAAGCTGATAAGAGCGCCGCCTGGTGGAACGAAGGTTAAGACTGCTGGAGTTCTGCGTCAGGAGATCAAATAAATGTTGTCTGTGTAGATTCAGTGACCAAATAATAAAGTACAGTGAGGAACCAGAGTTAGACAATGTAGAGCAGGTAGGAGAAAGAGGCAGCAGGTAGACAACGACAACATAGTCCCACCGAGGTTTGTTGGCCGTGTACACACTGTAATCGACTGTGTGTGTGTGTGTGTGTGTGTGTGTGTGTGTGTGTGTGTGTGTGTGTGTGTGTGTGTGTGTGTGTGTGTGTGTGTGTGTGTGTGTGTGTGTTTCAGCACATCATGACGGAGCCTGACGAGATCACCACAATGTCCGGTCAGAAGCTTCCTCTGAAGATGTCCGTCGATTACATTTCCTTCTCTGCTCACACCGACTACCAGCAGACCAGCGAGTTCATCAGAGCACTCAAACCTCCTCACGTGGTAAACAACAATAACAACATCAACAACATCAACGATAGATGGACTGATTGGAATTGATTATCTGAGATAATCAGAATCAGCTGATGTCTGCAGACAGATTCCTCAGTGTGTTTTCGCTCTTTCTCCGTTAGTTTGGAGCTCCGTACAATAACTCTCATACATCCTGCTGCATCCTGTACGTTTCCACCATCGTCCTCTCTAAATGTTAGATGTTAAATCTAAATGTTTTCTCATTATATTATAATAATGCAGTTAAATGACGTCTCATCTATCACACTGTACCCAGCTCTCCCTTAAATACCACAATCTGAAATCTATAGCTTAAAACTATATTTTTCTGTTTCATTAATTAATAAAAATTCCATCTAAAACAACAAGTTCCTAAGATAACATGTTTATTAGATTGTACATGAAATAATGGAATTATACAGAACTTTTTCATATATCAGCATTATATATCCGATACCAGCTAAAATGTTGAAGGTTTTTAAGGAACAAGCTCACAATTAAACCGTCTGCTTAGTGTAAAGAAGCCAAATTCATATTATTCTTAAATAAACAGTTTAATATATTGTGACTGTGGATTGTGTCTCACCGGAGGAATGACTGAAGAAAGTACATGTGAGCAGCTCGACTGTTTTAAGACTTTTTAAGGGTGAAACTAATGATTACTTTTTCATTCATTATCAATTAATCTCCAGATTGTTAATCGTTTGGTCTCTAAAATGTCAGGATGTCTTTAAAAGTTTGTCAGTTCAGAACCCAAAGATATTTAATGTTGTTTAATATTAAATAAAACCGACAAAAGCAGTAAATCTCCGTATTTGAGAGGCTGAAACTTTTGCTTCCATCTGAATTAATTAAAAATGACTTTAACAGTTAATCAGTTGTCGTTGGTTGTTGCAGCTCTAATAAGAACTAGTTGCGACCATCAGACATCTTTACTGTTGTTGTTGTGTCTCCAGATTCTGGTCCACGGCGAGCAGAACGAGATGGCCCGTCTGAAAGCGGCTCTGATCCGCGAGTACGAAGACAACGACGAGGTCGACATCGAGGTCCACAACCCACGAAACACGGAGGCCGTCACACTCAACTTCAGAGGAGAGAAACTGGCAAAGGTTGGTCTGAAACTCTGAGGTCAGTTTATTGTGCCGCTCTCTCTCAGCGCTGTACGGCCCCGTTAACTCCCAGCATGCTCTGCTGCAGGTGATGGGCTCTCTGACTGACAAGAAGTGTGTTCAGGGTCAGAGGGTCTCTGGGATCCTCATCAAAAGAAACTTCAACTATCACATCGTGACGCCCTCCGACCTCTCCAGTAAGTAACACCGTCTGTGTGTGTGTGAGCTTGTATGTGTATCTTTGTGGGGACTGTGTGGTAAACAATCTTAATGAGGACATTTTGGGGTTTATGGATTAATCACTTTTTATTGCCAGTGTGCAACTTATGAATGAGTCTGCTAACATTACTGCCTCTCGTTGTTCAGACTACACAGATCTGAATATGGGCACAGTGACACAGACTCAGGCCATCCCGTACACCGGACCCATCTCCCTGCTGGTCAGCCAGCTACGCAGCCTCGCAGGTGGGTCCTCACATCTCCCAGCTCACCTGAACGCACCTCACACAGTCTATTCTGTCTCTGTTTCTTTACCTGAGAACATTTTTTTATCTGTTAGAAACATTTTTATAGCCAGTTCAGGTCCAAAATGTTCCAGATAAAAAGGTTTCCTCATATTTGGTTTTTCACCTCCTAACATATGTCCAAGTTTATTTGTTTTTTAAACACAAGATAACAACAGACAAAGACGGTACTGGCATGACATTCAAGTAATTAAAACAAATATAAAAGAGACAGTAGAAAAAAGATTCACAAAAAAGTTATCTGTATGTAATTAACTGTATTTAGCCTAAAATGAAACAAAGAAATTGTGGTTAGAATTGTAGTTTGTATGTATAAAAACCACAATCTACACAATCAAGTTAATTTAATGTGTCAGACCTTTATTAACTGTGTGTTTAAACTCTCCTGCAGTCTTTGCTTTTGTACTTTGTGTCTGATCTTCTGTGTGTTTGGTTTTCAGGAGACGTGGAGCAGGTGGAGGGAGCAGAGAAGATCACCATCAAGATCTTTAAGAGCATCACTCTGGTTCATGAGGCCGGCATGGTGCTGCTGGAGGTTAGACACAGCAGATAAACTGTACAATGAACCCAAACAGTGAACACAATAACTGCAGGAAATTTGTGTAAAACCAGAGTTTTGGATACATTTTGAGCAGATTATGTCCTTTTAATACAATTCTCTGTATTGTGTATCTTTCATAGATACTTAATAGGCTTCTTTTATTGACAGATTCTGTGTTTTCTCATTTTATCAGCGCTTTGATTATTTGAACTTTACTTATTCAGGATGAGGCTGTTTATCAGAGTCAGGATTATTATTACTAAAAATTAAGTTTTATTTAGTTTTATCTACAAATGATCAGATATATATTAAGTTTTCTTACACACCTTTAAATCAATAAGGCCTTGTGACCCCTAGTTTGGGAACCACTGACAATAATGACCAAGAAAAGCAGGAAATCTTGAAACTAGAAAATATTTGACACTTGACAATGACTGAACAGATTAATTGATAATCAAAATTAGTTTAGTGTTTCAGTCTGAACCGAAGAGGCTGGACGTTTAAATATAACTGATATACTTTTTCTCCTCAGTGGATCGCCAACCCGCTCAACGACATGTACGCTGACGTCGTCACGACGGTGGTCCTGGAGGTCCAATCCAACCCCAACGCACAGAAATGTCAGTGAACAAAATGTGGGACGTTTTTAATCATCAGCAGAAACTTTGACTCCTTTAACGTTTGATGTTTGTTTCAGTTCTTGAAGGCAAGAAAGAAACGTTCGACATGGAGCTGTTTGTGGAGAGACTGGGGCTCATGCTGCAGTAAGTGGACGTTTGTTTTACTCCGCCTGCAGTGCCAGTCGGGTGGAGTCTGACTGCAACAGCCAGCAGAGAGTTTCATGTTCATAATTTATGTTTTGCTACATGAAGCCCCACCCGTCTGGCACTCTGCACATCATAAGCAGCATATGTATTCGAGAAGTGAAACGAAAGAAATGAAACCTGAAGAAGGAAGTATCAGTAGAGATTTCAAAATAAGAGCCCTGTATGAAAAGATTTGTGTGAGCTGAGGCCTATTGATGTTGTATCTCGTGTGTGTTTTGCAGCGACATGTTTGGAGACGACGGCGTAAAGTTCAAAGACGATAAAAGCGTGAGTGTGACGGTGGACGGAGTCACTGCGGTCATCGACCCAGAAACCAGAGTGAGTACAACATCAGAGCAGAGTGAGACCTCCTGTCTGTATCTTCTGTCTCAATTCAATCGCGAGTCGATCACAAGACAGTCGATGTTTCTGAGTTTTATTCCAGCTTTGCTATATTGAATATAAAAAGTGGCAAAAAAAAAACAAGGTGTCCTTTTATGGACATCACTACTATTATTATATTATTTTAATGAATCCCATGAAGAGACTCAAACCGACGTGTTAGTCAGACATTTTAGGCCGCAACAATCCCGAAAAAAGCCCCTTAAATCCTGGAGGGACTGGTTAGTCCTTCTCTCAATTCTGAGCTCGTAAATATTTTAAAAATTTACATCCGGCTTTTATACACACAATACCAGCAGCTCTGTGTGACCTCTCTACTGACCTCTGACCTCTGTCTGCAGTCAGTGACGTGTGCAGAGGACGATTCTCTGAGGGAGATGGTGGAGATCGCCATCCACCGGCTCTACGACGCCCTCAGCCCTACCTGTGATGTCACCTGTAAGGTGGGCGGCGGCCTCCTGTCAGTGCCGCGTTCACAGGCGGCCGATGAACTGATCGATTAAAGACTTTGTTTAAAAACCTGGTTCCAAAGGAATCGCCTTCAGGAGACGGACCAACAATCTTTAGCTGGTTGTTTTTGTACTTTTTGATTTACGGAAACGTTTGTTTCATCATGAGGAAAAAATAAACGTTTGTACTTTAGTTTAACAGGTTTCTGTTTCTGTCCTGATTTTAATGTGTGAAACATTTTGTTTAGATGTTATATATTACTATACTTATATATAATATACACTACTCACAAAAAGTTAGGGATATTCCACTTTCGGGTGAAAATTTATGGAAAATGTAAAAAGTTGATGCTACAGTGATATTATATCATGAAAGTATGGCATTTAAGTAGAAGTTCAAATTAAGATCACCTGGAAAGGTTATAATGCATTTTATGTACATTCTGAAATTTTATCCGAAAGCCGAATATCCCTAACTTTTTGTGAGTAGTGTATATATATTTACTATACTATTTTATTTATATATATATATATATATATATATATATATACACACACTATATCACTGTTGAGGTTCTTTGCACTTTTAGCTAAATGCTAACATCAACGTCAAACCCTCTAAAGAACCAAACTGACGACAACAAACAATCTCAAGAATTCAACAATAACTTTATTGCTCATCAGCGTTCAGAAACAGACTTTTGCTCACTTGAAAACAGTCAGTAAAACCTTTTATTTTGAAACAGCAGACTGACTGACAGGTAAACACAGTGACACAAACATAATACAGTCAGACCTTAAAATACTCGTTACAAGACGTGTTTAACAGAATATGGTGCATCATCGTCTGCATATAACAACACAGTAAACAGAAGCACTCTGTACATATCTTTAATACACAATATTAAAAATACTGACTAGTGCATTTGAAGGAAGAGAAGGCACGAGGGGTTCTCAGTGATTGTCATTTAAAATACAAAACGCTTTCAATAACAAAAATAAAACACAAAACAAACATTTAATAAAATATAAACAGTGGTACCAAACAGCCCGAGAGCTCTCCCAGTGAAACAATGTAAATACGTCAGTTTGGTTTAAATACCTCTTTGTGTCAGATTTAAACAGCTGACTGTATTTATACTAAAGTGGTATTTATCAAAAACAAAACAAAGACACATACAAGTCAAAACTAGAATAAATGCAGTACACGGCCTCATTTTATTACAAATTAACTTAAAACGTACAAATGTTTCGAAACATGAAAGCTCATTTCAGCCAGCAGAATAAAGAATAAAATGTTAAAAGTTACTCAAAGTACAATTTTAAGATTCTTTTACTTTCGTATCTTTTTAATAATTTAATTCAATTAACTGATTTTCAGGAGAAATATTGAACTTTTTACACAACTATAGTAATAAAGTTTATAAACTATATAAAGTTTACTAATTAAGATTTTTCATATGATCACTTATGAAATAAGTTTCCATTTGTTTCCTGATAAAATCTCTTTCTTATCAAGATAATCGATAATTGAGTCCTGAAAACTTATTTTCTCAAAACGTAAAAAAACCTTGAACCATCAAATGTTTGTTTTTGTTGACGTTAGCGAACTAGCTAACCACTGATGTAAATTACATAGCCAGTTAGCGAGCGTTTGGCTACCATTAGCCAATATAATTAAAATGTACTTTACGTGGCAGAAATGGACTTCCATATTCAGACAAACTGAAACAGAAACACCAACACTGTCTGAGTTTGGGGTTCAGTTCCCTGTGAGACACTATTAATTAAAACGGTTGAAAACGGAAACAGTTTTTACTTAAAATGACCAAAAACTATTTTATCTGTTTATATTTAAAGTGTTTTTTGTTGGTTTGAGGGGCGGACGGCAGTTTAAAGATATTTTACAACCATTAAACGGACGGTAGATTAAATAATATACATTTTTATTTTCTTTACAGCCAAAAAATAAAAATTAACAGAAGTCGCTTCTTCTTCTGTTGTCGGTAAACAAGATACAATATCTGACTGTAAATCCTCCCAAAATGTTTGAATCTTTTCCCATGAAGACTCTTGCTGTTAATGATCATTTTCACAATTAATGAATCTGATCTTTATTTTCTAGATTATGAAACTGAAAAATGTCTGAAGCCCAAACAGTTCAAACACACAGATATTTAATTAGCTCGAAGGTTTAGTCAACAAAAAGCAGCAAATGATCATATTCAAGAAGCTGAAGCCATCAAATATTTTAAATTTTTGCTTCATAGTTGCAGATAAATTGCAGCTTTATTGACTTTTAAAGCTTTTAACTTCCATTTTTGGAAGAAAAATACCTGAAGGTTCATCTTTTGGTGTCTGTTTTACATTTACAGCCGTCAGAAGATCTGGTGTCGGTTTTAAGTGGATACGAACATTTCCACCAAAATACAGAATCCCAAAAGTAAATAATCACATCAATAAGTATATAAATATAAATATATATAATCATGGAATTATGAAGATGACATCATGAAATAAACTTTGGACTTAATTAAAACTAAAACTGTTTTACAGAAATTAACATTTTCAACCTGTATTGAATAATTAACAATTTCTTGTCTTATATATTTTTTCTGTATTGATTCCATAAAGTCTAATTCAGTGCTTCCCAAAGTGTGAGCTATAAAAAACTTCTTTCATGGAGCAAATTCATTAAAATATCTCTTTAAAACAATATAAAAGTGTACAGATTTACAAATGTATTTCGAGATTTATATATAAACAGTTATTGTTGTTTATATGTAAACAACCGCACATATTAAAATAATGTATTTCCCACAAATACTACAACAAGAGACAGAAGTTCTCTTTTATTAATAAATCCTGAAATACGTCTGTGTGCGTTAATCTGACTCCATAAAATATTATAATAATATTATAATAGAAAAATAACGTGTCGATCTAAAACTGTTATGTAATAATAATAATAATAAAATATTATTGCTCACAACGAACAGATTGCTATTGGTTATCGGACCTGAGTGCGGCAGTGCGACAGTCTTTAGTACAGAACCAGTTTGAACTGTAACAACCTGAATCCGGCTCCGTGGACGGCGAGCTCGGCTCCGTGGACGGCGAGCTCTGTCAGCACTGCGTCTCCTTGGTGTCGATCTGATGTTGTCGCTGGAGTCTGAACATTATCGCCTTCCCGCTGCGACCCGTCACGCTGTTCTCCGTCAGGTCCTCGAAGGAGCGCTGAGTCGCCCCCGCTGGCCGCCCGAACGCCTCCTCCAGGGCCTCCTTGTCCAGATGCGAGTCCAAGCTGGGGTCCTCCTGGATGGTGGCCATGCGGGGGCTGTCCAGGAGGGGGTGGCCGGGGGTCGGGACCGGGGCCGGGTCGGGGCCCGGGGCGGAGCTGGAGACCGGAGGGGTGCTGGTCTGCTGGGGGCCGGACGGCTGGAAACGCAGCGCGGCGGCGTTGGTGGTGGAGGGGAAGGTTGGAGGCTTAAAGATCCGAACAGAGGCAGACTCAAGGCTGCTCAGGAGCTCGGCATTCTGGGAAAATAAACACAGTCAGTATGAGCCACAATTAAAAGAGCAGACCGCTGTTTTTATTGTGTTTTTATTAATTAAACTGTTCTTTATTGTTTTCATTTGTAAAAAGAACCTGCAGAGACTTAAACCTGCTTTATGTTCAACGTTTTATAAAGAGGTTTAAAACTGGGAATCTCAACTGAACTTGATCCGATCGGGATAAAACATCACAAGCTGGTCCTTAAACTCCAAACAGTATAAATATATATAAATATACTCACACTGGGGAAGAACAGGGACTTGGTGGTCTGTTCATACTGTTGATCCAGCTTCTTGTCCTGAAAGCACAAACAGATAAAACTTTTAAAAGGTAAAATTACAGACAAACACCAGACTCCCTTTAAAATTCTATCAATTTAATGTCACACATACGGTCAATAAAGATTCATCAAAACATCGACGACATTCTGCTTAAAATGTTCCAGTAACGTAAAGATCAGACACAAATACCTGCAGGGATCAGGTCTGTAGAATAATAATAATAATAATAATAACATAAAGTAGAGACCCACCACACAGTGGACCAGGATGCTGAAGGGGACCCAGAACAGCAGAGAGAACGCCACCACAGAACCAACGATGTTATCGGCCAGAAACTTCCCAAACGTGTTGATGTCCAGTTTATCGATGAAGTCCCACAGACGCTCGATCACGTCCTGGACCTGCTTCATGCACTTCCCCTGCAGGAGCACCGGGACGTTTACCGTTAAAGCTTTTAGGTTTCACACAGCGGGACAAAGTCAGCGTGAGAGAGACGTACCGCTCCGTCGCAGAACCCCACGGTGCACGGTTTGCCTTTACGCAGGTACAGGAAGTGACCCGTGTCATCCTGGTAGGGGGCGCAGACACCGCCGCTGCCACGGCAACAGACCTTACAGGACGAGTTGGTTTCTGCAACGTAAGAGTGTGTTAGTGTGTGTGAGAGTGTGTAAGTGTGTGAGAGTGTGTGAGAGTGTGTGAGAGTGTGTGAGAGTGTGGAGTGTGTGAGAGTGTGTAAGAGTGTGTAAGAGTGTGTGAGAGTGTGTTAGTGTGTGTGAGTGTGTGAGTGTGTAAGAGTGTGTTAGTGTGTGTAAGAGTGTGTTAGTGTGTGTGAGAGTGTGTAAGAGTGTGTAAGAGTGTGTAAGAGTGTGTTAGTGTGTGTGAGTGTGTGAGTGTGTAAGAGTGTGTTAGTGTGTGTAAGAGTGTGTTAGTGTGTGTGAGAGTGTGTTAGTGTGTGTGAGGAGTGTGTTAGTGTGTTAGTGTATGTTAGTGTGTGTTATTGTGTTAGTGTATGTTATTGTGTGTTAGTGTGTTAGCGTGTGTTAGTGTGTTATTGTGTTAGTGTGTTAGTGTGTGAGAGTGTGTGTTATTGTGTTAGTGTGTGTTAGTGTGTGTTATTGTGTTAGTGTGTTAGTGTGTGTTAGTGTGTTAGTGTGTGTTAGTGTGTTAGTGTGTGTCTGAAACCAACAGAGGACGTTAATGTCCGTCGTACCGTTGCAGGCACACGGCTGCAGCTTCAGGACGGACTGACAGAAAGGGATACACTCTCCGTTCAGACACTCGCCGCTGTCCAGACACACCGTTTGATCCGGCGCGTTCTCCGGCGGCGGACACTCGCTGCTGTTTCCTGTTGACACACAAACACGGTCACAAAAAGTCTCTGGGCGGCTGTTTAATTATCTTATGTGACCTTTGACCTGTGAGCTGACCTGTGCAGTACGAGTGTCCTTTACAGGTGGCGCTGATGGGCTCCTGGCAGACTTCACCTTCAGACTCGAACCTGCAGTTCTTACAGCACGCACTGTTCCTGTCGCTGAACACACGGAGACGAAGAGTCGATGAACAAACTCTTCTTCAGTGTATTTAAACTGTAAGAACTGATAACGCTGCGTTATGAGGAACAGAGACAGAAGTATTGATTGCAGCCGATCGGCTCCGACCTGCACTGAGCTCTGGCTTTCAGTCTGCATTCATTGGTGCAGCAGAGGTCCGAGTCGATGTGCAGCAGTCCCGGGTCGCACTCCTCGCCCTGCTCCACCCGAGAGTTACCGCACACGTTAATGTTCCTCTGCTTGAAGCAGGACGGCGCCTTCGTCCTCAGACGCTTCACTATGGAGTGCTTACTGCAGTTCGAGAACATCTGGACACACAGGAGAGACTTTATTTATCTTTCTGACCTTCAGACGTTCAGAGCGTCGACGAGAAACGAGCCGAGCACCTTGTTGTTGACGTGGTCTCCGCTCACTGCGATGGGGTACATGACGTATTTCCCTCCCTGGTCCTCTCGGGGGGCGCAGTGCGGGATGTTGTCGGGGTCGTGTTCTGCCCCGAAGTTATGCCCGAGCTCGTGAGTCGTCACCAGGTCGGCTTCCTGTGGAAAAAACATTAACTCTAAAATCAACGTATTTCTTCCTTTAACAAACACCACCACAGCTTTCATTGATTATTGGTTATTGGTTATGATTGATTTATGTGGTTATGCACCGTGTCGTCCACAGAGGATGGATGTAGAATACGTGTTAAACTGTATTCATAAAGGTTTTAAACCCTGAGCTACACCGATGAGGCTGTATGTGGTTGAATCTGACGGCTCTACTGACGGCTCGTTATCTGTGTGGACAATAAGGAACTCAGAACCAACCCACCTTCGTCAGGATGGTCTTCCCGTAGTTCTTGGTGCTGGTCAGGCCCGTGTTCAGGTAGATCACTTTCTGTTCGTTCGCAGACGAAGGACAAGCTTGAGAAGAATAAAAACAGAGTTATTCTTTCTGACTGACGTCTGAAGAGAATTCGGGGACGGCGACGAGTCGGCGGGACTTTACCTTTGGAGCAGAGACCTCCGGGGATGTCGGGTTTGGACGGGGCGACGTAGGCCAGACCCAGAGTGCCTTCGTCGAAGTCCTGATAGGTGAAGAGGTGAGCGAGGCAGACGTTGGCGGCTTTCTCTGCGATGTCGATGCTGAACTGCTGCAGGGACACAAACCGGGTCGAGACCTCAGAGTCGAACTCGCTCAGTCAAACATCAACATGAAGAAGAACAAACGCCGGCCGTTACCTCCAGAAGCTTCTTCACATCCCAAATGTCTCTCCCCTTCACCGGACTGCCTTTCATGTTGAAGTGACTTTTCCCAGCAGCCACTGCGGTCGGACGCTTCTCTATGATGATCTGACAGGAGACACACAGCGTCACACACACAGCGTCACACACACAGCGTCAAATACACACACAGACACACACACACACACACACACACAGCGTCACACACAGCGTCACACACACAGCGTCACACACAGCGTCACACACACACACACACACACACACACAAGCGTCACACACACAGCGTTACACACACAGCGTCACACACACAGCGTTACACACACACACAAACACACACACATACTGTTTCAGCTTCCCGTCCCATAATGCTCCTCACCTGCTGGATCTGAACGCCGTAACCGATGAACTCGTCGTCCCACGATGTGTTTCTGTAGATGTCGTCCACACGATCAATCAGTTCGATCTGAGAACACAGTCGGGGGGGTGGTTAGCGAGGAGGTGGTGGAGGGTTGAATTAAATGCGTACATGTGGACCATTGGATCAGTGGACCAGTGGACCAGGTGACCAGTGGACCAGTGGAGGGCTCACCAGGTAGTTGAGGGTGGTGCTCTCCTCCTCTCGGCCCATGTGCTTGAAGAAGCGATGGTCGGCCACCAGCAGCAGAGGACAGGTGTTCTTCAGGTGATCGTGGACCTGACGCTTCCCTCTCGACACAAACTCTGAGCAGGTAAATAAAGACAGGAAACAGTCGATATCAAGGGGGTTTGTTTTTGGGACCAAGAAAGCTACTCAACACTTCCTGCAGCCGCTTCACAATAAAAGTCTTTACAGTAGTAAAGGACAGTAAAAGAAAAACGTTTTCACATTAAAAGCTCTATTTCATATTTAAAGCTCTTTTTTCAAACTAAAAGCTCTTTTTTCAAATTAAAAGTTATTTTTTCATATTAAAAGCTCATTTCACATTAAAAGCTCATTATTTCAGAATAAAAGCTCATTATTTAACATTAAAAGCTATTTATTTCACATTAAAAGCATAGGTGTATCACATAGAGGCCTTGTTGTGAAACAGAAACAGGAAGTGCAAGGTCACCAGCTACAACTCGTAAACAACAGAGTTCAGATCTACTGACCTTCTTCCTCTCGCTCTTCCAATATGGCCGTTTTAACGCTGTCAGGGAAGAGGTGGACGGGGTCAGAGGTCACGTAGCCGCAGACTGAGGGCTGCTGCAGACGGCTGAGGTTCCTGATGTCCTCTGAGCGGTAGATCAACAGACGACCATCAGGGGGCGCCGACGTGAACCTCCAGAGAGGCTGAACACGGTGGAAAGAAGAAGAGTTACAGCGGGAAACATCAGCAGGTACATTTCTACGGATGTCAGCGTCAGTCGGTTGGTTGGAAATATTAATATTAGATATTATTTATAAATATATTTATTAATAACGTGTTTATATTCAGTCTGTTTGCCTGATGAAGACTTTCAGGTTGAAACTAACATACCGTAAAACTTCTAATAATAGCCCAGGCGTTTATTTGCTTAAATCACTGAACTCCCCCTGCCTTTATTTGGGACAGGCCTCTATTTGGGACAGGCCTTTATTTGGGACAGGCCTCTATTTGGGACAGGCCTTTAATTCCTTTAGCACAAAACTAAACTAAACTAAACTCTAACTGCTGCTTCTCTTGAGTTTTATTCAGCAAATTTGACAACTAACATGATGATTTTGATGCTTCAGAGGTTTTTTTCCGTCTCTCTTGTTTACCGTGTTACAGTCAGAATGAATTAACGTTAAACTTTGTTGTTGATCGTTTTCGTAAAATCTATTGAACGACTGAATTGTGGAGAATCTATAACTGATCTAATGATGTTCATTATGTACATACTGACAGAAGTTTAAACATTTATATTTGTGTAGGAGATCAAAACAACTTAAAACTCGCTCAAGCAGGCGACCCGGTGGGTTTTAAGAGGTTTTATACATCGAGATAATTTCTATAAAATCCAGACCAGGCCTCTATTGGAGACCTGCGTTTATTTGTCCAAACGTGTAGCCACAGCAGGCTTTTAAAAGGAGAGCTGCTTTTACTGGAAGTTTTACGGTAAACTCTTGTTTTACCTCGACGTTGTATTCGGCCTCATTAGTCAGGATGTGAGCGGAGAACTCGTGGTCGTCTATATGAGCCTGAACTCGAGAGTTTTCTTCACCTGGAACAGACAAAATCAGAAATAAAGTATTCCTCGTGTGATGGTTGAAGGTCGTTGGCGTTCAGGCCGATCGTTACCGATGACGTGTCCCGTGAAGTAGTTGTGTCTGTTGACCGAGTAGTTTCGCTCTTGTCCGTCCTCGTCCACGATCACGGCTCTGAAGTCGTCGGTGAAGAGCTCGTCGTTGGTCCTCAGGTAGAGTCTGAACTGCCTGCGAACACACACACACACACACACACTGTTACTCTCTGGAGTCTGCGTCAGCGGACTGTGAGAAACCTGAACTCTGACCTCTGCAGGGCGTCGAAGCTGACCATCTTCTCCACGTGAGTCTGAGTTTGGACGTCGCGGCGGCGGACGGAGTGAGTCTGCAGGCTGGAGAAAGGCAGCACGTCGAAGTCGTCCAGGATTGACCTGAGAGACGCTGCGGAGGGAACAGAGGACCTTCAGAGAGACTTCATATTGAATCCTGATCAATAAAATATTGATTCTAAACAAATATAAAGATAATTCATCCCTCAGATTTTAGTCTCACTGGAACAAATTGTGTTTAATTTTTTACTGGATTAAATTTTCATACTATAAAAACATCTTTTAACATTTATCACCAACATCGTAGTTTATATTCTGAATTTGAATTAATATCTCATCATTTGTGATGTTTTTGTGTCACATTTATGATTTAAAGCATTAATGAAACTGTTGGTTCGCAGTACTTTTGTTCAAGGATCCATAAACTGATCCCATCAGACCTGTATTTAATGTGAACCTTGTCTATAAGTGTCTACACTGTGGCAGATTATTTATTATATATTTATATATATATTATTATATATAGATGTCTACACTGTGGCAGATTAACAATGTATACATTTGTTTATATATCTTTTATATAAGATATATTATTATATATAGATTTATGTTTTTATATAGAGTGATACGAGATTGTAAGTAAGTGGTAACAAAGTGTAAAATATTAAAACAAAATTGGGATTACAAGCTCAAATTCTTGATCCCTCTTGACTAATAACCTTAACCTAAATAATTAATAATTTAATAGATCAGGATATTAGATAATATAATTACATATAATAATATATAATTTAATTGATTTGATTTACTCAAAGTTAAATATTTAACATATTCTCTAATAATTCTGACTCACATTTAGTTTTTTATCTTAATAATTAGAAACTTCCGTACCTATATTTGACAATAACTGTGATTATTGATGATGTATAGATGCTGATAAACTGTACGTTATATATGTATGTCATACAACAGTGTGATTATTGATTATGTATAGATGCTGATGAACTGATGACAGTGTGATTATTGATAATGTATAGATGCTGATGAACTTACAGTAGTGTGATTATTGATGATGTATAGATGCTGATGAACTTACAGTAGTGTGATTATTGCTGATGAACTTACAGTAGTGTGATTATTGATGATGAACTTACAGCAGTGTGATTATTGATTATGTATAGATGATGATGAACTTACAGCAGTGTGATTATTGATTATGTATAGATGCTGATGAACTTACAGCAGTGTGATTATTGATTATGTATAGATGATGATGAACTTACAGCAGTGTGATTATTGATGATGAACTTACAGCAGTGTGATTATTGATAATGTATAGATGATGATGAACTTACAGCAGTGTGATTATTGATTATGTATAGATGCTGATGAACTTACAGCAGTGTGATTATTGATTATGTATAGATGATGATGAACTTACAGCAGTGTGATTATTGATGATGTATAGATGCTGATGAACTTACAGCAGTGTGATTATTGATGATGAACTTACAGCAGTGTGATTATTGATTATGTATAGATGATAATGAACTTACAGTAGTGTGGGTCTTCAGGCTGTGCAGGAGGAGAAGAAGCAGTCTGTGTTAAAGTGATGAACAGACAGAATAAAGTGAGTCTGAGCTTCATGTTGATCTGATTGATGGACGTTTAATCCCTTTCACTTTAACGTCTCAACGCAGCACATTCAACTCTTTAACGACACTTTACACTCAAACAAAGTCGGAAAACTCTTTTCTGGAGGAAGTTCAGCGACTCTCGTCCAGTTTGGGTCTTTGTTGTGCTCAGAAAAACGCAGAAAAACGCAGAAAAAAACGCAGAAAAACGCGTTGAGTTCGCGAAACCAGGAAGAGACAGCTGCAGAGAGCGCGAGGCCGGAAGCACATCCTACTGCCTTCACAATAAAAGCATAACGTCTAAATAGTCACAGTCTTCAAGTTGTTGAAGAGGAACAAATAATAATAATAATAATAATAATAACGATTAATATAATAAAAAAAAAAAAAAAAAAAAAAAGAATTGATATAATAATAATAATAATAATAATAATAATAACGATTTAATATAATAATAATAATAATAATAATAATAATAATAATATAATGAATTGATATAATAATAATAATAATAATAATAATAATATAATGAATTGATATAATAATAATAATAATAATAATAATAATAATGATTTAATATAATAATAATAATATAATAATAATGATTTAATATAATAATAATAATAATGATAATAATAATAATGATTTAATATAATAATAATATAATGAATTGATATAATAATAATAATAATAATAATAATAATAATAAGGATTTAATATAATAATAATAATGAATTGATATGATAATAATAATAATAATAATAATGAATTGATATAATAATAATAATAATAATAATAATATAATGAATTGATATAATAATAATAATAATAATAATAATAATGATTTAATATAATAATAATAATAATGAATTGATATGATAATAATAATAATAATGAATTGATATAATAATAATAAGAAGAAGAAGAAGAATGAATTGATATAATAATAATTATAATAATAATGATTTAATATAATAATAATAATAATAATAATGATAATAATAATAATAATAATAATAATTTAATGTAATAATAATGATTTAATATAATTTAAAAATAATGATAATGATTTAATATATAATAATAATAATTAATTAATATAATAATAATAATGAATGAATATAATAATAATAATAATATAATAAAATAATAATAATAATGTAATACAATAATAATATAATAAAATAATAATAATGTAATACAATAATAACAATATAATGTAATAATAATAATAATAATGTAATAATCCAGGGGATGAGAGAAATAACTAAAATCAGATTTCCCAGAAAAAGTTTTATTTTGAAACTCCCCCGTCGCGCCGTGCTCTTATTGTGGTGGGTTGACGGCGGTGAGTCAAACATGCTGGAATCTAAAAACCTGAACAAAAAAAACAAAAAAACATTTGACCTGATTTTGTTTACAGAGTTGATTCTTAAACAACAAATATGGAAGTTAATACACGCCTGTCTGTCTCTCTGCCTGTCTGTCGTCCATCTTATGTAAGAGAATAACACAGAGACATCTGGCAGCTCTATTTATAACATCTGATCTCATCAGCTTTAACTTCACATCACAACCGGAAAATCTATAAAACACTAAAGTGACAGGACACAGTCTCTGTGTGTGACAGGAAATACTGCAGGAAGTCAAAGACCACGACACTTTATATACAAATATATATATATATAATATTAAAATGGAATTACTTTGATTCATATTATTGTCAGTGTAATAAAAAAATATATTTACTCAAGTGCTGTTCTTAAGTTGACTTTTGAGATATTTGTATTTTTGATTTTATTCTGATTTATACTTTTCTGTATTCAGATTAATGATAAAAAATATAATCAGCACTAAATTATGATATTATTACATCAATAAGTCTTTCACCCAGCAGTATATATATATATAGTAATAATACAGTAATTATCACATAATATTACATAACAATACAGTAATATAATACATATTATTCTGCATAATTAGTACTTTTACTAGTATATAAAATATATATATATATATATTATATATATATATATATATATATATATATATATATATATATATATATTGAATGCAGGACTTCTTCCATAAACGGTAGGAAGTGACACATTTCCTGTCTTCACGGTCGTATGCAGAGGGCCGGAAAGAAAGATAGAAAGAAAGATAGAAAGAAAGATAGAGTGAACAAAAGAGAAGGATAACTGATCACATCTGCTGAAAGTATTGACACTGTTCAATTATGGTGTCCAGTCATAATAATAATGTACTAAAATATATAATAACAAAATTATTAAATAACAAAATTATAAAAAATAATAATAAATTTAAATAAGAAAATTAACACAAATTAAAAAACAAAACAAAAATAAATAAATAAAAATAAGTGAAATGTGTCAATAACATTAAAGCTGTAGTAAGTTGTAGTTCCTGTGTCGGACTGTGAGCGGCAGCAGAGCGCCGCAGAGCCTCCACACTACCGGAAACCACAGGAGAAGAAGAAACTCCCAAACAAACTCACGTGTGGACGTGAGGCAGAAGTTTGAAAGTAAACAGAGACGTTACCGGATAAAACGGTTGTTATTCGGTGTGAATGGACGACGAACATACGGTAAACTCCTCCTGCACGTTTCCGTTGTTTCATCAAAGGTTAAAGTTAGCTAACGTTAGCTACGTGTAGCTAATACCGAGCAGCTAGTCGCTTCACACCAAACTACGTTTAATTATTTGTCAAATTTGACGAATAAAACAAATTAAATTAATATTTAACACAATTTATACGAGTCAATTTAACAAACAGCGAGTGTTTTATCTGACATAAAGCTAAAACGTATTTCGATGCATCATCACGGACTTTATCCTGGATTTTGTGGACTCAAGCTAAAAGTTAATTTAGTTAATTTAAAATATTAAATTTTATATTAAAGAGTTAAATTGTCCCACAGGAAGCCGTTTGTGTGCCGAATTTACTGTAAAGTTGTGAAAAGCTCTTTAAGACTTCTTCAAACTTTATTCGTTGTTTCCATCAAGGAAGAAAATATTAATTATTAATTTTATTAATGAAGTCTCGGTGAGATGTGTCATAAGGGGAAATAGTTAATAATAATATTAATAATAAAACAAACTGTTACTGTGTGTGTGTGTGTGTGTGTGTGTGTGTGTGTGTTACTCTGTGTGTGTGTGTGTTACTCTGTGTGTGTGTGTGTGTGTGTGTGTGTTACTCTGTGTGTGTGTGTGTGTGTGTGTGTGTGTGTGTTACTCTGTGTGTGTGTGTGTGTTACTCTGTGTGTGTGTGTGTGTGTGTGTGTGTGTGTGTGTTACACTGTGTGTGTGTGTGTTACTCTGTGTGTGTGTGTGTGTGTGTGTGTGTGTGTGTTACTCTGTGTGTTACTGTGTGTGTGTGTGTGTTACTCACTGTGTGTGTGTGTGTGTGTGTGTGTGTACTCTGTGTGTGTGTGTGTGTGTGTGTGTGTGTAGGCCTGGTACAAGGAGCCCTGCGCTCTGTGCTCAGCGGTGGATTGGGGAGTTTCAGATGAGGGTCGTTTCTACTGCAGATCCTGCCACACTGTCATCGAGGTAAACAACAACAACAACAACAACAACAACAGCAGCAGCTGATGGGTGTGTGAGTGTGAAGGTGTTGTAATACCTGTTTAATCGTCCTCAGAGAACCAAAGAGGTGGTGGACTCCACCTTCACGCCCGGCTCCAACAGGGTCTCCACCATCGGCAGAGGACCCAGAAACAAGAGGACCGGTCGGTGGTTCTGAGTCTTTAAACACAAACTGAACTGGGTTCAAAACATAAACAGTCAACAGTTGGAAGTTTAAAAGAAGATTATAAATAAACTTTACATCCGTTGTGTTAAAACGTTTTCCAGAGGGTGGTCGTCAGTGGATGATCTGCGAGGGTTTCCAGTTCATCCTGAGGAACCAGGCCGACGCTCTGCTCCGACTGGGAGTCGGTCCGAGCTTTAAGGTCCGTGTTTACACCTTTATAATGAGACCCGCAGTTCAGAGCAGGAAGCTGATCTTTAAATGTTTCAGGACGAGGCGCTGTGCGAGCTGTGGAGACTCTACCTGCAGAAGAGTCGACAGGCCTACACCCACAACCCAGTGAGGACCTCCAGGTTCAAAGTGGTGAGTTCACTTCTCTCTTTATCGTAGGAGCTTTCTGAACTCAGACCACCGTTTCTCTCACGAGCTCCTCGATACAAATACTGACTGAAGTTAAAGAAACTGAGAAGAGTTCAATAAATAAAGTTTGTTGATCGTTAACATTTAAGATTTAAACATTTATTAACTCATTAACTGCATCGGTCACCCGTTAAACAATTAAATGTTGTTGTTATTGTCTGTCAGCGAGGTCCCGACTCGGACTCGGAGAGCGCAGCCGAGTCGTCCGTCATGTCGGCCAGTGAGACGGACGGAGAGACGAACCCACCCAGCACCATCGGATCAACTGCAGGTAGAGTCAGTCAGGAGACGCTGGAGAGAAATGTTGAATAACTCAGTGAAGAATTTAATGGAAACAAACTTTTACACAATAATATTCTGTTGTTTTAAAATATAATTAATAAACCCGGTTAGGATTCCTTCAGTGTTCATGGTTCAGGAGGTTTCTACCGGGAGTCGATTGATCCACAGAGTAAATCTAGAGTTAAAAAGCACCAAGATCTAAACAGTGGATGGTAACAATGTGGCTTCAGACTGGATCAACAGTCAATGTGTGACAGCTTCTGGCAGACAACCACAACGCTGACGCAGGCACAAAGGGGATCTGACGCTCTTTGACCTCCACAGAGAGCTCCAGTGAGTGGTCGCAGTGTTCGGGCTCGGTGGACGCCGTCAGTTACCTGTCGCCCCGGCTGAGGAGGTCCCGCGGTCTGATGAGCATGAAGAAGACTTTGGCTCTGATCCACCTCGCTCTGACCTGGAGCCGCGAGCCGCTGACGCTCAGCGACCTGCTCAGGTAACGACTCACCTGGATGCTCAGACACTTTCAGATGTTGTTGGATGAATTCCTGCAGGCGAGGTCCTGGAAGGTCCTGGAAGGTCCTGGAAGAGTTATTGGATGTGTTTGGTTTCAGGTTGGTGAACGAAGGTCACGTCCCGTACGTGAACGCTTACGAGGAACTTCCCGATGAGATGAAGCTCGAGGGCAAAGACGCTCTCCTCTTCAGAGTGGAGGTCAGAGTCCGTCAGCTATAAATCACCTTTTACATTCAGCAGCAACGTTCACTGACGTGTTGT